CATTTTACCTCCAAGCCCATCATTATTGCTAGGCTGAGTAAAACTCCATTGTGTATATATACACATTTTCTTGATCCATTCTTCAGTTGTTGGGTATCTGGATTGTTTCCAAAGCTTGGCTATGGTAAATGGTGCCACAGTGAACATTGGTGTACAGGTGTCTCTATTGTGCTTGTCTTACATTCATTTGGGTAGATGAACAGGAGCAGTACCATGGGATCATATGGCTATCCTATCTTAAGCCTTTTGAGGAATCTCCACTCTGCTTTCCATACTGGTTAATAATTTGCATTCCCACCAACAGTGTAAAAGGGTTCCTGTTTTGCCATATCCTCACCAGAATTGTTGTTGTTATTACCCTTGATTATGGCCATTTTAACTGGGGTAAGATGAAATCTAAGTGTTGATTTGATTTGCATCTCTTTTATAACCAGGAAATCGAACAATTCTTCATGTGTTTACTGGCCATTTGTACTTCTTCCTTTGAAAAACCCAATACAATTCATGTGCCCATTTCTTTATTGGGATGTGGATCCTTTGGAAGCTGAGTTTTTTTAGTTCCCTCAGCCCATCTCCTACCTTGTTCCATGTTTCTAAATTTACAGGGCCTTCTTCAGGAAACCATGGGCAGGTATCCTGTACAAAATCTAAAAAACTGCATAAGTTGAAGCGACCTGGCCATGATTCCTCTAATCTTTAATGTAGCTTTTAAAGCCTGTGTATAGAGCTCTCGGTCCTTAGACTCACCCTGTCCCGTGTTTTTATACCTGCCTGTATTCAATTCACTCTCCCCCACATCTTACTTCTCAGAAAGTGTGTCCTTGTCTCAGGCTTCAAGTTCCCCTGTAGTTAGTTTCCTGTCCAGGCGTCATCTTGCTCTCAGGTCCCTGTTCAGGCACCACCTCTCGCATCCTGTACGAGCTTGTCCTAGAAACCTAGCTGAGGGTGATGCGAGATACAGACAAGACAACAGACAGAAGACCAAACATGTGTAAAGCTGGGGCCAGGTAGGCTGGGTGCTCGGATGCAGACACACCAACCCCCTCTACCTCCAGTGAGTTTATTATATACAGTGGCAAAACAAGGCGGAGAGGGATTTCTCAGGGGAGGGCATGTAACATTGTAATTCTCAGGAACAGGAGGAACCTGTGAAAGCTTCTCTCTGAACATAAACATTGAAGCTGTACTGCATCTTGCCCACTTCTCCAGCTGAGGCTGTGCCATCAAGCATGCAATTCATTAGGCATAACTATACTTGCTCCCTTCTGCGGTTCGGGGCTGTGCCAAACTCAAACACACAGCTTATTACACCTGTCAGCTCCCCACAGGCCTCTACTGGGACACATCCATGACAGCCCCTGCCAGAGATGGCACAACCACAATCCCTCCCCATTGTCCTCCTCCTCCTCTTCCTCTCCCTTCTCTTCATCTTCCTGCTCCTGCTCATCTTTCTACTCCTACTTGTCTCTGAGCATGGGTCTAGTTGGGATGTCAGTGAACTGTGGTGGTCAATCAGAGCATTCAAAAATACAAAACATGGTACTGGAATGTGCTGGATAGTGTGACTTTCAGGACTGGCTGGAAGTCATTTTTCTTTTTCTCTAAAGGAGAAATGAAGTGCAAAACAGAGTGTGCTGACTTAGCCTGTACCAGGGTTGTCACCCAGTCCTCTGCTGAGGCAGGAATCTCTGGAGCTGGACAGCAGCCATGAGTCTGCAACCAAGTCAGCACAGTCTGGCCTGTAGGGCCACATGCTGAGCCCTAAGCACATCTTCCTACACCGTTTTCAGGACTTTAGGATGTATTTTATTGTCTTCTAAAACTTGCCTATGAAATATTACAGCGGTTACAAGGGATAAATGAAGCAACAGGGACTACAGAAAGTGTCACAGGGTCCATGATTAGAAATTACACAAGAGTCAAGGTGGACATGAATTCTTTAAATTTTTTTATTTGATGCATGAACACATGCCAAGGTTGGTACAGTAACTTGACAGTCATGAGATATCATATTATGTTCTTATAGATTTAAAGGGAAATCACACACTTCCTATGAACCATTAGGGAATTTTACTACAAGGCAACTGGCACTGACAGGTGACATCACTTTCGTGCTTCTGACCAAGGCTTCAGCAAAGTTTCATTCAAATAAGTGAAGTCAACACCAAAGCATGAGCACATTTCGATGTTCTTCTGAATTAATATTTAATGTATATTTTGTGCATAATTGCCATTTAGGTATGTAAGGGGAACATCCATATTTATATCTAATCTGGTAGGTATTAAAGCAATATGAAGTACAAGCTTCCCTCAGAGATTGTTTCCTAAAAATAAAAATTTAGGATAGGGAATGTGCACCAGAAACAAAACTTTAATACACAGAAACAAAGATAAAAGTGAATGTGACATCCTTGGCATCTCAATACGTAATTTATGATTACAGAATTTATGTAAAGATTGACCTTTGTATTTTATGTGGTAACTAATCATATACTTTATAAGCTACAATGAATAGAATTAATTTTCCAGACAGGACCTATAAAAATGATTATCAGTCTACAGGATGCTGTAAAAGCAAAAAGTATTTTCTAAATAACTTAGGTATGATACGTTAGCTATAGGAAATTTATGATTAGTAATCTTTGATGATCACTACAAATTTAGTTTAATCTGAGTAACAATTAAAGAACTCTTACTTAAAATACAAACATAATCTGTACAATATATATTACAGATTATTTTATAATAGGCAATGACACGATTGATCCCTGCCTGAAACTTTCTTACACAGAACTTCAGGAGTGTACACTGGGTTAGTGATCAATCAGCATGCTCATCGGGTTCCTTTCCAGCTCCTTAATGTTCTGGTCACTCCACATCTGTCAGGATTTTCCTCAGTACCAGAGGAATCATGTGTTTTCATTTCACAAGTTCTTCACAGGTGGCATGTCCTTTATCCTATGTAAGAAGGATATGGATCACTTGGGTGCTGGTGGCTCACACCTGTAGTCCTATCTATTAGGTAGTCAGAGATCAGGAGGATTGTGGTTGGAAGCCAGCCCAAGGCAAAGAGTTCGTGAGACCCCATCTGGAAAAGTCCATCAAAAAAGTGCTGATGGAGTGGCTCAAGGTGTAGGCTCTGAGTTGAAACCCCAGTACCGGGGGGGGGGAATTGAAAGCATCTGGATAAAACTCTGTCGCAGAAAACACTTGTAAATGTCTTCTATGATTCTTCATAACCTAAAGTTTCTCTGAACTCTTAAATTCAAAACATCCCTCCATTAACCTTTCTGAAATTTGCTGGGCTTCTGTTAAGAATGTAGCATAGATTGAGCGTTGTATACACGACAGGCATTTTTAGCCCTATTCTCAAAGCCATGTTTGCCTTCAGATCATAAAGCAAAAACACTTAATGCACCTGAACTTCAGCAAATGTTGCAAAGACTGGCTCAATCCAGGAGCACAACACTCATGGCCTGGTAAGCAGATTATGCAAAGCCATTCTTCTTCATGCTGCAGACAAAGCAGATCTGAGAGACACGGGTGTCACTGATGATGAGCACCAAGGGGCTGAGTGCAGGAAAACACGAGGACACAAGCACAGAGGTGTTCACTGTCCACCTGCCTGGGTTTGCAACTAGAGTTGTCCAAACAGTCATGAGATTATACACTGAGTAGAAGGTGAAAAATGAGCTCACCAAGATCATGATGGTGCGTGTGGCTCTGGACTCATGGGAACATCTGGAGGAGAAGCTGTGACAGTGGATGTGTTGGACTCGCTGCTTGTGTCTGTGCAGGACAAGGACCATGGAGCCACTGGCCCAGACCATGAAGCCCAAACACAGAAAATCAGAGGAAAAATATAGGATTGTGTATAATGGGCTAAATATCCCTTGCATTTGCCAAGAACAGTCTTCCTGATTATTTTTCCCACTGTAGTTCTGGTTACTCACTGGACCACTCACAATTCTAAGAAGACATGAACTTAAAAAGATATGTGGGATCCAGCACAGGAAACAACAGAAGCCGATGAACTTGAGGGATCTAAACTTGAGTGCCATCCACCTGCACATGCTGGAGTCAATCTTGATGGCCTGGAATCCATTCAGCAGACAGATAGTGCTCAAGGAAACTCCGGTGCCCAGTCTGTAATTATAAAAGACAAGTTTGCATCCAATATCACCCAGAAAGTATTTCATCCTGAAAGCTGACATAGTCTGTGGTATCCCTTTGAAGAAAAGAACCAAGGAATTGGCTAAAGCCAGTTGGTTGAGAATCAAGTCTGTGGGTCTCAACTTGTGTCCAGTGAATAAGGTGAAATTGTACAAACAGAGGAGAAAAGAATTCCCCAGGATTCCAACTATAGTCTGAGTGAGGAAGATAAACCCCATTTCCAAATTTCCAGAAGCCATTCCGTCAATATCTAAGAAGTGTTCACTTCAGTTCAAGTTGGCGAAATCACTAGAGGATAATAACCATAAAAATGTCTTTGTCACTAGAAACATAGCTTGTCCTGTTTAGCCTAAATAGAGTTTCTCCTTTAAAGCAAGAATTAATGCTTTCTGCTCATTTGTGCAAAGGCAATTCATGGAAATCTCCATTGGAAATGAGCCAATGTCCACATGCAGGGAATAAGGTCCACAAATGAGGCTGCAGTGCACTACAGACCAGCACCACTGCAGAGGTGAGTGGAAGAGTTTGTGTCTGATTCCGGTGGGTTTTGCATTCAGTTTTTGTTGGAAGACATCGATTAAGTTCATGTTGAATAACACACTGAAAAACACTAGAATATGGAGAAAGTGTTAGGCATGTGTGTGCCTATCATCCACAAGAATTTCTGGATGAATGAACAAAAGTGCATACTTTGGAACCACAGTGGAGAAATAACACTGACAGTGCTTTACTCAAGCACAATTCTGACAGAGGGCCTACTTTCGAGTCTGAGTTATTCTGGATACAAACAAACAAAGATCAAGCCCAAGCCCAGAAATCTGGGAACAACCTGCCACAGTGTCTGTCTGACACAGAGCCACAAGAGATAGTCATGAAGATGGGTAAGGTCACACGTGGACCTGATGGAAAGTGTAAGGCACAGGGAGCTTGGACTATAGAGGATGCTGTGGTCAGTGCTGCATGCTCAGTGGAGAGGAGTGAGCCCCATCAATTGTGGAGACTGAGAGCTCTGAGCCCAAGACTGGAGATTGCTGGACCTCCACAGCTGCCTCCTTGCAATGTGTGTTTTGCTTCCAAGTGGGACTAAGAGTTCTATGACCAGGACAAACAGATGACTCTGTTTCCTCAGCCTCTGCTCTCAATGGGGTGAGGGGCACATGGTAGCACTCTCCCTGCACTGGACCAAGCATAGGGTTATTTCAGAGCCCGTACTGAATATTCATGATAAGTGAAGTCCTCACCAACTGACAATACTATTCTTTTTGTATATGAGGAGGAGGATTAGGATCAGGTAGGTATGTTTCACAGTGAATATCCATTTGCTTTTGTGCACACATGGATTCATTCAACTATGATCACAGTAACAATTATAACTCCTATGGTAAAAATGCAGAAGCAAAGAAATCACCAGAATAATGAAAATAAATTACAGAAAAAAAAACAAAGCAAAATAAGACTTGATTAAGAATCAGGAATCACCTGGAAGATGAATCATAAGTTAATTGAAATAATAAACACATTTGTCCAAAAATGGTGTGTGAGAATCTGCACTGTTTGCCGAAAACACCCCAAGAGTCTCCACAGTGCTGTGTAATGGGTGAGTCCAGCCCCTGAGGAAATGCAGTGATCACAGGCAAAGTGACTCGTGGTTTACTCTGATCATAGTTCTGTGGAGTCACAGCAAGGATCTAAATTAAACACTCCACCCCATCAAACACATGGAAGTGGAGCTGCCTAGAATAAAGGCTGTCTGCTCAGAGTTGTCCTGTAAAATAACTAGCTTATAACATGGTGGCTGCTGTAATGGTGAAGCAAAACTATAGTTAAGAGATGGCTTACATATGGATCAATCCTGAAGGACAGCCTCAGTTCTTGAATGTAAGGAGAGTTTCAGTTTATTGTGAGAATAAAAACTAATTGGTGCTTATGTGATATGGTACATTTGAAAACAAATATTTGTATTGAAGTCCATTAAAGCCCCTCCTTATTGTATACCTCAAAATCTTTGGGCCATATTCATCTTTTCAAGAGGTTTTCACTTGTATAAATGGGAGAGAATGGTGTTTTTTTATTGCTGAGAGAATATTAAGAGCCTTCAACTTTTGATTGAAATTTAGAAACATATTAAGGACCACATCTCACACCACATGTGGCAGCCCGCCACAAACCAATACCATGCACACACACACACCTCAAGTGGCCACATGTACACCAAGTTTGTACTCATTGGTAGGAGCCCAGATTCATAACCTCAGTACTACTGGCATGCTGTGTCCTGAAGCATTTAGTGTGAACACTGTAAAGAACATGTTACTTAGTAAGAGGCAGTTATATTCAGGTTCAGGGAGAATTTAATAGGAAGAGCACAGGTGACATGAAGCATTGGGGCAGGAT